CTCAGATTCCATCTAGTGTCAAGTTTCTGCAGAAAGATATTATCATAATCTCCACGTAGATAATGATAATGGATAGACATTAGACAATATGCATAATGGATAGACAATATACATAACACCATATTTTGTGTTACACTTAAACCCCAATATAAGACCAGGAGCCATCTAATCTGACTTGAACCCAAGCGAGAGGACTGGTAAGAATACAAGTCAGTCCTTGTATTATTTAGACGAGTGCTTGGTACAGAAGCCCCTCACTCGTACAGAAAACTACTGATGATAAAATTCTAGTGTGTCTTGATGCTCAATCAGTACACTTATCAAGGTATATCTGGAGACAGGGCTGGAGATGATAACATGTTCTCTAAGTGTAAACAAGCAGGTCATATTATTATTACCTAGAAATGGACTACATAGTTAGCTGGTGTGTTTCGTATCAGGGCAGTTATTTGAGATTTTAGTTTACGTAATTTAGTGTCAGTAAAATCAAACCAGTTACATGATACACGACAAAGCGTTGTCATGATAATAATAACGTGTGCCAGTTGCCATGTTATAATAATCCGATATTTACTATTTAGTGTGAGTAGAGGTATTTCTTAGGTCTGACTCATCTGAGCAGTATCTAGCAGACGATTAAACTATGCCAAGAGAGAGAGAGAGAGAGAGAGAGAGAGAGAGAGAGAGAGAGAGAGAGAGAGAGAGAGAGAGAGAGAGAGAGAGAGAGAGAGAGAGAGAGAGAGAGAGAGAGAGAGAGAGAGAGAGAGAGAGAGAGAGAGAGAGAGAGAGAGAGAGAGAGAGAGAGAGAGAGAGAGAGAGAGAGAGAGAGAGAGAGAGAGAGAGAGAGAGAGAGAGAGAGAGAGAGAGAGAGAGAGAGAGAGAGAGAGAGAGAGAGAGAGAGAGAGAGAGAGAGAGAGGCGTCACTTGTCTGCACTGTAGATCATTGGAAACCAACCACTTCACAGTTACTTCCAGCGACCACATTAGCAGATCATATTTGGCGTGTTGTCCTCTATTTGTACAACAACAGTGTTGAACTATCATAAAGATTAGTTAGTCTGTGTGTACACGTGCAGGGGAGGTTAGTTAACGTATATTAACTAATATAGTCAACATAAATTAACTAATACAGTTAACGTAAATTAACTAATATAGTTAACGTATTATATTAACTAATATAGTTAACGTACATTATATTAACTAATATAGTTAACGTATATTAACTAATATAGTTAACGTATATTAACTATTATAGTTAACGTATATTAACTAATATAGTCAACATAAATTAACTAATACAGTTAACGTAAATTAACCAATATAGTTAACGTATTATATTAACTAATATAGTTAACGTACATTATATTAACTAATATAGTTAACGTATATTAACTAATATAGTTAACGTATATTAACTATTATAGTTAACGTATATGTTAACTAATAAAGTCAACTTACATTAACTAATATAGTTAACGTATATTAACTAATATAGTTAACGTATATTAACTATTATAGTTAACGTATATGTTAACTAATATAGTTAACGTATATTAACTATTATAGTTAACGTATATGTTAACTAATAAAGTCAACTTACATTAAATAATATAGTTAACGTATATTAACTAATATAGTTAACGTATATGTTAACTAATAAAGTCAACTTACATTAACTAATATAGTTAACGTATATTAACTAATATAGTTAACGTATATTAACTATTATAGTTAACGTATATGTTAACTAATAAAGTCAACTTACATTAACTAATATAGTTAACGTATATTAACCAATATAGTTAACGTATTATATTAACTAATATAGTTAACGTACATTATATTAACTAATATAGTTAACGTATATTAACTAATATAGTTAACGTATATTAACTATTATAGTTAACGTATATGTTAACTAATAAAGTCAACTTACATTAACTAATATAGTTAACGTATATTAACTATTATAGTTAACGTATATGTTAACTAATAAAGTCAACTTACATTAACTAATATAGTTAACGTATATTAACTAATATAGTTAACGTATATGTTAACTAATATAGTTAACGTATATTAACTAATATAGTTAACGTATATTAACTATTATAGTTAACGTATATGTTAACTAATAAAGTCAACTTACATTAACTAATATAGTTAACGTATATTAACTAATATAGTTAACGTACATTATATTAACTAATATAGTTAACGTACATTAACCAATATAGTTAACTTACATTAACTAATATAGTTAACGTATATTAACTAATATAGTTAACGTATATATTAACTAATACAGTTAACATATTATTATTATATTGATGATATTGCTCCTAGCGGGGCTCAGAGTAACGTGTCATCTGATACGGAGCCGGGTCTGGCGAAGGACACGGCTCATACCTACACGGCTGTTGTGACAACAACACACAGTTCATGTTACCATATACACAGTTCATGCAATGTTACTGTGTATAAAGACAGTCCATATTTAAACCATTCACACAGTTCATGATACTATCTACTCACAGTTCATGTTACCATTGCATCTCTACACGTGTATGTTTAATATTAACAATCCTTATAATGAGTGTTAAACCTTTAAACAGGGGACCACAGTGTTTGGTTAGATTGTTGCTACACCGTGTAGTAGTAACCAGAGGGTTCCTTGTGAGGGGCTGGAGGAGTTATTAACCAGCTGTTAAATAATCGCAGTAAAAGTGAACCCTTTGTGGAAACTTACTTTTACATACTTTTACATAATATTATATAATGAGGCGTGCTACATACACTAGATAATATTATAGTGGATCAAGTGTGTTTTCTCAATCTCTAAACAGTAAACTGAGACAGAAATATACAGTTTATTGATGTTTAGCAAGAGGCGACGAGCCTCCTCATTTCTGGCTGTTTCTCCGCTTGTTACGCCCGAAGATGTTGAAATCTCTGATTTGGCTCATGGCACTCGCGGCTGCAGGTGCCTAGATTTCTTTCTCTACAATAATTATGGCATTCTCTTAGTTCAGAAATATCGATTCAGTCATCCACTGTATGATTTGTTGCCATAGCTTTCGGACAAATGTTGCTATCATTAAATTACATTAACTGACTTTTAGATTTATCATATATTTTCATCTCATCTCATAAGGTTTATTCCAAGTTATGACAAAACCAAGTAAATGTATCTTCAGTTCAGCTTGAGAAAATACTCGAAAAGCAATCCGAAGATTCAAAAACTTTTGGAGTTGCACCAGAACAACCAAAAATTGTACTAGAAATCGGGGAAGCAATGAGTTTTATTGGCACAAAGTATAGCTGAGTCATCGGCTGGGGTTAAAGCACGTACCAGGCCTTTGTTGTGGAGCAAGTTTAATTTAAAATTATGTGATGCTGTCTGGTAAAATGACTTGTTGAACTATTTTCTTAAGTTTAACCAACTATCAGGGTGGCATTGGATTGAATTAACTAAATTTCATCACGTCTCGGCTGTTTATTACAGTAAATAGTTACTACAGTGCATTTAGTAGGGTAAATTAATCAGTTTCTCTACTCTCAACCTTTTGTAGTTTTAGGACCATCTTGAAGAAAGTCACATTGCTCCATTTCTAGATATTTATAGTTCAAGGCCACCCTGAAGAGTGGCTACTACTACTACCACTACTGAAGGAAGCCAGGTAAAATGTTATTCTTTATTCCGTAATTTCTAGATATCCATACTCTGTGCTGCTCATAAAGGGACGGAAGATCTCTTCTCTTATTGGGCTAAAGGATATGATATCAGATATGATAGATACAGGGGTGACAAATCTTTAGAACTTGGTAAATTGTTCCGCTGGTAAACTTACAAGGAGATATATACCATAGGGACCGAGACAGCTGGATAACAGTGGCAAGGAGGAAGTGAGGAGGAAGCTTGGGGACCAGGATGTAGGTGGAATGCACCGTGTACGTGGGTACTGGGATGATGCTTTAGTGCATCACTTCAGAGTTCAGAGTTCAGACCTTAAGTATGTAAATGTGGGAAATAAGGCGCAAATGGTCGGTGACCATTTCAGTTTTGTGTCTTGAAGTATTTATCTACGTGGACAGGAATGACGAAAGATTTGGTATTCTGCCAACAATTAAAGGGAACGAACCTTCTCATGGCATACTACATTTCTTAATAATTTAATAAACTATCTGCATAACGTATTATTAATAATATATCGTTCTCTTCAGATTCAATTGTTAAATATTTAATATTAAGTAGGATCGTGAGATGAACTACCAGTTGTAATCACATGCTTGCTTGTTAAATTATCACAGTGCACGATATTACAGACAATATTGTATTTATTGGAATTGAGATTTGGGCGTATTTAAGGAAAATTTGATTCGAGGACATGGAAATTCCTTTGGATATATTTTAAATACATTTTAACGTAAATTCTTTATTTATAATTTGATCGCGATTGAATGATCAATACCTACATAACTCATACTGTGTATAATAAGACACGACATTTTCGTCCATGAAAGAATTTGAGCCCGCATCGAAGAATGAGCAGCAAAATGAGTCTAGTGTAGCCTGTAGCGGTTAGCCGTTATAGGAAGAATACTAGAAGACACATACACATTATATTATCATTACAAGGATGGGACCTCGCGATTTTACATACATTCTTACACACATTCATAATCATAAACACATAAACAGTAAACACATAGACATAATATTATGCACATACACATTAAACATACATGTATACAAATAAACACACACAAACACACACACATAGACAAACTGTACTAAACTCACACAGAATAGAACACACCACACTAAATGTCATGTTCTTCTTGGGTGGAGAGATGACTCATCTCAGATGAGTGGTAATGTAAACAAATAACATGAGTACATGTTGAGCAATTGTTTGTGTACATCTAGAACAGAACAAGTAAACAATAACATATCACTTGATCTGCCCTATTACTTACACTCGTTGGTTAGTAAATACCTTTCAGTGTCCTCAATTGTACAGTTTTCAATCCTGAGTTGTTGGGTAGAGATACAGGATACCGCCAGATTGTGGAGAGCCTGAAATTAAAATAATGGTTAGCAACAGCTTGCGACAACTAGCGACAACTAGCGACAGCTTGCGACAATACACAACATATGTGAAAATTAGTGACAACCAACGACAGCAGAAGACATAGAGAATGGTGACAATTGGCACAGTCACATGACAACTAGTGAGCAGTGACCTAACTAATGGTAACTACCGTTATATAGGATGACTAATATCTAATAATAGCTGCATTATGCAGTATATAATGAAAAAGTAGTCAGGTTAAATTATCCAGCATAACTATGGAGCTCGAGATGATCAGATCATACGCTCGCATACCTAACACGTGACTAGTTTTTACTGTCCCAGCTGGTTCAGCTCTCGTAGCGTGGCTGTAAGATTTACTCTTTCTTATTTAATACATCCACTAAAAATGAAAACAACTTTTATTCGAACTATTTCTGCCGACTGACACGATGGTTTTTAATCCACCCAAGTTATTTTCACATTTAACACATGTTGAATGTGAAAATAGTCTAATAAGTTCAGATACTCATAATTTGACGCAATACTTCAGATACTAGACGTGGTTTTGACGGTCCTTAGTTTATCAGTAAATTACGTACGGTTGCCGCTCTGAATTTTCAAGATAGCGAACTCTACTGTTACAATACCCTTAAAAAATAACAGTGAAGTGGAAGTGAACCATGTTTGTTTTGACATGTGACAATTATCTACGGAAGCTGATAGGTCGCTTTTGGAATCTGATTGGTTAATCAATATCCCGTACTCGTCACTATTAACAAATCCCCTTCATCCCATTGTTGTGAGCAATACAACTAGCAAGTCGTGCCCAACACGACACATCCTACTAAGAAACATACATGAAATACGGTAGCACCGGGACAGCTGCATTGTCATTTTTCTCTTTATAAACAAGTAACCAAGGTAGGAGGAGGAGGAGGAGGAGGAGGAGGAGGAGGAGGAGGAGGAGGAGGAGGAGGAGGAGGAGGAGGAGGAGGAGGAGAAGGAGGAGGAGGAGGAGGAGGAGGAGGAGGAGGAGGAGGAGGAGGAGGAGGAGGAGGAGGAGGAGGAGGAGGAGGAGGAGGAGGAGGAGGAGGAGGAGGAGGAGGAGGAGGAGGAGGAGGAGGAGGAGGAGGAGGAGGAGGAGGAGGAGGAGGAGGAGGTTACACTCTTTCTCTCTTTGTGTATGCGAGGTATGCCGACACTGACTAAGGATAATTATTAATCCGCACGTCTGACTCATTAATAGTATACACTATACAGGGTGAGATGGTAGAAGAGAAGTTCAATTATTGGGAACCTTTTTTCTTGCTCAATACGGTGAGATTCCTTAAAGTTGTAACATTGAAAGTGTTATCTTCGTCAGCTTGTTTAAAGGCCGTCTAAAGGGGTGGTAACGGAAAATTCTTGATGTAGTGCACCTTATCTTTATCTAACTTGAAAATTCCAAAACATTCCTAATTACGGCTTCCAAGAATTTGGCTCATGTTTCAAGAATTTGGTATGTAGGTGACACACAAAAATAACACCGTTACCCCAAAATTTGAACTTAAGCCCGGTCATTGACGTAAAGTCGCTTTTATCAAGCTGGTTAGGTATGCTGTAAATCTTCCGACTGAAGAGAAAGGGGCAACATTGACCTTATAAGGTATCTTTAGATCACGGATCTCCGCATGCAATCGGCTGAAATTATTGTCAAAGTTTATACTACCTAGGAAAGTTAATTTCCTAGGAAAGTTAATTTTCTCACTTACTATTTTACCGACTAACCACATTCCCTGAATGCCATCATTTCATCGTGAGCAATGCATCACTAACCAATTATGTCAAGTTTTAAACTCGTTAATTTGGCACCTACTCAATAAAGCAACAAGCACGACACATGTATCTGTGGAGAAGGCCCCACCTCGGTCCACCACTGAAACACATATTTCCGCGTAGTTATAACCCGTAAATTGTGAACACATGGACCGTTTACTCTTTTAGACACCAAATATGAATGCAAGTCTATACGGCATAAACATTCCATTCCATGCTAATTGACAACGTGAAGGGGGTCTAGAAGGAATAGTTACAATTGCCTGACTAAAGGCCACAAGTAAAACCCATCAGCTATTAGCTAGGTCTTCTCGGGCAGCTTTAACTGAAAATTAGCACCAACTGTCATTTAATCAGCTCCAATTTTGATTCCACAAACTTTGTCTAAGAAATAATTATACTATTCCCCTTCCAAATGTTTATGGTATCGGTTTATAATCGGCATAGCTTTATTCTCATGCGACTGATGTAGTCGAAACAATCATCATGATTTGTGCATGTTTTACCGCACGCGTTTTACCGCACACGTACTCACTACATAGTTAGCACATAGTTAGCACATACTTGGAATTTGCTTTTTGTCGACAACAATCACGTGAAAACGACCAACGCCTCCAGGAACATTTATAAAATTCATTTTTATCACGATTCGAACACGACGTCTGATAAAATTTAAAGTCATGACCTAGTATTATTTGTTAACCACTAGATTTTCTTATATAATTAGTAACACCACGACAAGAAATTCGACGTCATCCAATTTCACTGTTGAAGCTGTAAATATCGTGCTTCAAGATTTTAATATTTATGAGTTAAATGCAAGAAAACATCATTGGCTCACTTACATTAATATCATGAGTAAAATCGTTTTAGAAAATAATTAAAAAGTGAGTTCATCTCATGAAAAATCAAGTTTTCACTGATTAGACCTCTACAATTTTCTGTTCCAGTTTGCTATCCCAAACCCTGTTGAACTCTCCTGACACGACCCAAGTACAGGATCCCCTCTGCCAGGTTTGAGTGAACGGAACTCTCACTTGCATCTTCACCATCTCAGCTGTACACTGCACCTTCTTACCTGCAGGAGCTCTACAGCCGAACCAGGAGCTCTGGATGTTATCTCTCTGGAGTGGGACGGAGTATTGGAACTGCAGAGAGGTAGCAGCATCAATCACAGCAGCCGAGTTAGCCACTTCAACCGGATTAGCTGCAAAGGATACACCAGAGGCCAAGACACCGCCGGTTTTGGAGAACGTGATAGAGTCGTGCGCGGTGGCAGAAGCAAAGTACTCCGTCTCAATATCCTGTGGACTGGTTGTAGCGTCCATAGTGTGAGTATCTACCACTGTGGGTGAGAGCGGGCTGATTGTAGCAGCACCCAGGTTGAAGTCTGTCCGGGCCAAGCTCCAGTACCCCTGCCTGATGGGCAGATCCAGGGCACAGTCATTCTCACACCATTTATCCTGGGTGACACCCTCGCTGGAGTCCCGAGATAACCACTGCCCTCTTTTGTTGTAGATGTAATGCCACCCACTGGAGGAACTGCCTATCTGTACCCTGTGGATCAGCAGCATGTCCTCACCGCCCGTGTGGAACTCAACACACATTATATCTCCGACATCCTCGTTCCTGTAGAACTGGTAGTAGTCCGTGTCTCCCCGGGTGAAGTCGTCCAGGGACAGGTCACACAGGTACCACGAGGTAGAGCCCCTCATTCCGTGGATTCTTACATAGATATCACTGTCCGTGCCGGCGTGTGTCGTGTCCCAGGTTGTAGCGTACATGTAGTAGTTGGCACCGGCTGAGCAGGTCGAGAAGAGAGCTGCTAGGAATACAGAGAATTTCATCATCTTTAAACTGAGCGTAGAAAGTTTGAAAGATTTATGGCTGACAGTGTGGCAGGTTAGACAAAGTTTCAAGTTTTATAGCTCTTGTTTCTTTACCATGTCAATCCGTTTAACTCCTCTTAGCACTTCTAACATACAAATGTTTGTCTATTTGATCTCTTAGTATAAAAGTTTGCGCCACTCCTGACATCAGCAGACAGACAATCAACCAGCTGCTGGTTGTTTTATTTTCTTACTTTGATGTTTTATTTTCAGAAAAAGATTAAAGTGGGCGGTGTTTTTTACCATCCAATGTTGAGAACTTTTATTTAATTCTCTACCTTTACCTTAAACATGTCAATTAATTTTGCAGTTAGTCATGGCTCATTCTACTTTATTAATCAACTCATTTCCTTAAACAATAGTAGAATTTACCGTTCTGACAGAAGCAGTCAGCGAGTTAAAGGCAGTCACATACGTGCACGTGTTGTTTATAAACATTTATTGCTCGATTTATTGTTGATCACTGATTCGTATCTATTATATTAATACGAGTTTATAATCAAAACACACTGCAAACTTTCTGATGCCCTGATCACATTATACTGGTTCAATCTTTGATCAAGAGATCGAGTAGCCAGCGGAGAAATTAATTCAGACAATACAATTCTATAGATTTCTAAAGTCTGAAGAATAACAGTAGTGATATGCACAGACCACTCCTCCAGCGGACATAGGGCGCTCCTTCTGAGGTCGGTAGTCCCCCTCTAACAGTCTGCTGTCGTGCACTTTCACCAGTTTTTACTATCTGTAGCCCCTCCAATATCAGGTCCTTGCAAACTCTCTCTCGCTCTTTTTGGGCCAATGACTGTTCTCTAAACCAAATATTACTTGACAACCTTCTTGACGACTTGCTGTGAGTCAGTGTGGTATGATATCCAGGAGACGTTCGCGTTGTACTGCAGGCATGTCCAGGCATGTTTTGTGGTAAGTGGTTACTGACGTTTAGAACCACAAATCAGTGACCAGTCTCCGTCGGATAAACGTGACTGATTCTGGAGAAACTGGTGGGAAATTAGAACTTTTTAATTTGGTACTAGTACAGTTTAAATATTTGGTATGTAAACGTGTGATATGTTATAAACCGATATAAAGATGTTCGCCCACATGTGATCGATATATTCATTCCTCAAACACTATCAAACTTGAGACACGATTGGAATTTGCTCGACTTTCAGACAGTCTGGTTAGCTCTTGGATAGCCTGAAAGTTCCTTGAAAAGTCTGGATATGTTTGCTGAAAAGTCTGGAAGTTGAGAGAAAAGTCGGGCTGATTACGGTAGGAGGGGCTTCCTGTCAGAT